CTCTGCTAGCTCTAGTGGCTGGTTGCCATGGACATGACTATGCACAAGATAGACCTTTCAGAAGTGCCCTCATTGGGGGAGATCCTGTATTAATCAGACATGGAGAAAACTTTAATAACAAAGTGGAGCAAATATCCTAGCAACAAAAGCAGTTTGCTTTTATCAAACAAATCCAATTCATCATGTCTTTTGCTTTGACCTTGATTGAACTGAGGATCACTCTTCCCTGCACTCTGCCATCAGTGAACAGGTAGCTAATCTTTTAAATTAATGTGAGATTTCATCTTTAATTACCATATGCATAGATTTAATTTATGCTTCATTAAATTCTGCATAGGGTCAAGACTGATTTCAGAGTTCTCTGCCTCCACAGATCCTCTATTATTTCCAGAGTACTTATTTGCCGTCTAAGCTCTCTACTATTATCTTCCAGCATTCATTAATATTAACTTGGTTTCCCAAAGCCATAGTGCTTGGAAAATAGATGAAAGCAATTCTTACCTGTTTTGAAAATCTCTTTTCACCATAATGTACTATTTAGTATATGTATATAAATTTTTATGAATCTAATTATGGATAATCACTTAAATGTATAAAATATTGAAAGTAAAATCCATCCACAAGTCCACATTAATAATGTGTTAATAATACACATTATTAACTTTTTGTATGTGTGTTTCTCTTCATTATTTTTATATGTACCATTTAGAAGAAAAGTTGTGTTCATATTCTTTATAAAATTTTCACTTTTTTATTTTTTTCTACTGAGTCATATAGTGTCATAGAATATCAGAATAGGAAAGGACTTTTCTGTCATCTCATACAATGAGTTTTCCCCATACTGTTTTTAGCAGTTATGTAAATTTTCAACTCTTATGTTAATTAGTTAGTTAATTTAAATTATTTATCAGTTAAAGAACAGTTAATTACATCTGACAATGCTACCCTAAATGATTACTAAATATTTAGTAATCATTTTTGCTTTTTAGTGACTATTCCAACTAGTACAACTCACACTTTAAGTCAAATAAACTAGTGCTTGAATAACACTTTAAACAGAGTTACTTCAAGTTGTAAATAATTGCTACAGAAAGTCTTAGTTTGTTTCAAATTGAGTCTCTTTCAATATTAAACAATTGAAATGTGAATTTATTTAGCAAGTTTTGATTACATAGTTATATAACATGTTCTTTGTCTCTGATTACATCCTTGAGTTCATGGAGTCTTGCTGTTCTGCATTCCATCTCCAGATGAACTGACAAGCTTTGTTGGAAAGTAGTTAATGCCTATGGGACTTCACTGTACAGTTAGTAATATTTTCAGTCAAATAAGCTTTGTACGTAGGGAAAGATATAGGTTTAGTCATCTGGTGCCCTCAGGAATGAAATTGTCAACATACCATTCCAGTTATGGAGCTTCCAAATACGAATCATTTTGGATGTTGGCCTAAAAGTATAGAAATCGTGAACTACATATTTTTTAGGGCAATTGTCATTCAATATTATTTAGAATACTTAAGGAATACCCAAGGTTAATATTTAAGATAAAAAAGATTCCTGGGACCCAACCTCAGAGGTGCTGGTTTAGAAGTCTTGGGTGAAAAAAAAAATAAAAAGGCTGTTAAAAATGTGAGTGTCTGTGTTTTTAACAGCCTCTTTTCTTCCCATCCACCTTGAGGTTCCAATGGAAGGGTCCACTGGCATCTTATGTGGAATAGTGCTCTAGGGATTTGAAAGAATTTATGGTATTCCATAATCTAATTTGGTAACAAAATAATTGGGACAGAAAGTAAAGAGTAAATAACTACTGCAAGTCTGAAGGGGGAAATAATTCTGTAAAACTGCTAATATCTGCCTTCATTACAGAAATCTTGTCAAGAAAATAATGGTTTTCACAGGCTCTCATAAGTCACATGATTGTCATGAAGACTTGAGGACCTAAAATTACACAGCTGGTAGCCAGCTTTGTCTTTTCTTTATAAATCCAAAAGTATAACACTAAAAAAGAGAGGATTCATATTATCTCAGGTACAAATGATAAGCTTAGAGGAGGTCATGCTTCATTAAGAAAGAGAAATGGAATGGGGTCGGGGAAAGGGAGCATAAAGAAAGCCTCTTAGGAAATAGGTAGAAAGGAGAAGGAAGGTTCTTCTAGAGGTGTAATCAGTCAAAGTCTCAGAAAGAAACAAGTAGCATGCTGGAGAATTTGAGAAGATATTAAAACAGGAGCTTTATTTAAAAAAATAAAAGGTAAATTTAACCTGAAAGACAATAATTGATAACTGGCCTATCAGAGCAAACATGGTAAGCACATCCAGCTTATACAGGTCTTGTTGACCACTGTAAAGAGCTCAAATCTTATTCTGAGGTTGATTGGATTGCCTGTTGGAAGCAGTTGAGCAACAGTGGAGAAGTAAGAGAAGCAACAAGACTTGTAGGAAGTAATTACAATCTACCTGATGAGAGATGTTGGTGACTGAGACAAGTGGTATCCACAGATAGAGCTGATGAGAAGTGGTGGATAGGGAATCTGTGGGAGTCTATAATGTATTCAAAGTTGGCACAAAACCAGTATTCACAGAATATTCTAGCTTTCTGCAAAAAAGATAAATTCTGGTATTACATATATGAGAATTTAGGGTACTGTAGTAAGCTTCTTCAATATGACTGCCAATCCAGCTAAAAATTTAGTATTGCAGCATCTTACGTGATTGAATTTGAATTTATATTTAGTTCCCTAGGTGTCAATTAAAATATTTAAGAATATTAAACTATAAGATCACATTGAAATTCAAAACCATTGTATATGATAGCAGTTGTCATTCAACACACCAGACAATTCTATTAATAAGAATAGAAATAACAAATATGGTATGCTTCAATAGGAAACTAGAAAGGCTATGAAAATAACAATGCTTTAGACATTGTCCAGGACTGTATTTTTCTTTAACTTTGTACTGCAACACACAGTAAGAAATATATTTGACTAAATTACGCTTGACAAATGTGTGAAGTGAAACAAAAATTTCACCACACATACAAGTCTTTACTCCATAGTTTGTTTTTGTTTTTTTTGTAATTAGAAGGTTCATAATACCCGTGTCCTATCAAATTAATTTCTTGAAACATTAATGATTTGTATTAGTCACCTTTTCATTGCTGTGACAAAAATACTTGACAAAGACAACCTAAAGGAGGAAAAGTTTATTTGGGGCTCATAGTTTCAGAAGCCTCAGTCCATGTCCATTGTCAGCCAACTCCATCACTCTGGGCCTGAGATGAGGCAGAACATCATGGTGGAAAGGTGTGGTAGAGAAAAGCTGCTCAGCTTGTGGTAGTCAGAAAGGAGTGAAGGGGCTACACTCCCAGTAACCTGCCTTCTTCAACCACACCTCCACTTGCTTTCAGTTAACACCCAGTAGCCTATTCAAATTATTAATCCATCAAATGGATGAATCCACTGATGAGGTTATACATCTCATAATCTAATCATTCCTAAAAACCCCACCTCTGAACCTTGCTGCTTTGGGGATCATGCTTTTAAAACATGAGCTTTTCAGGGGACGTTTCTAGATCCAAACCATAATATCTTCAATTCAAAATACAGATAGATCTGAGAAATTTAGGAAACTCTCTCATTCTTGCTCTCAGTGGTTGCATTTTTGGTAAGAGGTCTTCATGTGTAGATAGTGACATTTGTTAGTTGAGGTAAAGGTACAAAAATTTCCTTCTGCATCACATGGCTCAGAAGGAAGTCCTTGGTGATTAAGTTTAGATTTTAGAACCCAGATGCCATCTTGGATCCCAGAAATTCTGTTTATATTTTGTCATTTATTGTCTGTCATTCTGACTGGATCATATGCTTCCCAGGATGGTCCTACATACCCACTAATGCCTTAGTCAGTTTGGGTTGCTGTAACAAAGAACCTTAATGTGGGTGGCTTATCCATAATAGAAATTTATTTCTCACAGTTCTGGAAGCTGACAGTCTCAGATCATGGTGGCAGTACAATTGGGTTCTGATTCAGAACTGTCTTTTCATTGCATGATAGAAAGAAAACAAGAAAGCTATGTATGTCTTTTTTTTTTTAATAAGGGGAGCAGTTTACCCACCTGACTTAATTACTTTTCCAAATTCCAAAGGCATCGCCTTCTAATACCATCACATTGGAAGTTCGGATTTCAAAATACAAATTTTGAGAGCCACAAACATATAGTTCATTGCATCTACCATGCTTATATTGCTGTGTTATGCTGAGTAATCATTTGAATCTATTTTTAATTAGGAGTAAATTGAACACTAAGTAATGAATATATCAAGTTTTAAATTGAATAATAAAATTTCAGAAACTTGTGTTGTTTTTTTAAATTTGTTTTGCTATCTTACATAGATACATAACCTAAGAATTTTCAAAATAATCTCATTTTCTCGTAGTAAAATTGTGTTTAGCATTTGCAGTTTCTTTTTCTTTTACATAATATTTTCACAACTGAAATTAAAATAGCCCAGTGTAGTAGACAGGACAAACATCATTCCTGTTTCTACCGGAGTTAAACCTCATAGCTTAGCAGAAAAGAAACATCTTGACACAAACTATTTCTATAGCTCTGACTCTCATCATTACCTACCACCCAAATTACTCACCAACTAACTAATCACTTATGAATTCTCCCTCTCCAAACTCATGATTTTTAAAAATCTGAACAACATTTGCAAGCATTGTTCTAGTGGAAATGCTGATTTACTTTCCTGCCCCAACCTCAACTTTGCCTGGCTAATTTCTACCCATTCTTCAAAACTCTTTCAATGTATGTTTCAAAGAAATGGTTAGCAAAAGCAAAATGAGTAAAACCAGTTAGGATTTTCAAACAAATCAAACAACAGATAAACAAATGAATAAATGAAAAAATGAGAAAAGTAGAGCTATAAGCCATGTCACGCTGCCCCCTTGGAAGGCTTGACTGCCAGGGTAATTGTCTTCTTTCCACTTTGGGGAGCAGGGCCTCTCTGGTGATACCTCCATGCCAAAGATCCCGCTATGCCACCTACTTTGATGTTGCTGTTCTCCGCTGCCTACTCCAGCCCCACTGGTCTGAAGAAGGCACCCAGTGGTCTCTGATGTACTATCTACAAAGGCTGCGGCATATGTTGGAAGAGAAACCAGAGAAGGCTCCAGAGCCAGATATTCCTCTCCTGCCCAGACCCAGGAGTAGCTCAATGGTGGCGGCAGCACCCTCACTAGTGAACACTCACAAAACCCAAGTAAGACACTCTGTCCATTGTAATTTGAACTGACAACGCTGGCCATACCATGCTCTCTCTTTCTTCTGTGCATCCAGTGCTGTCTGATTGGTGGATTCCTCGGTTATCATTATCCTTTCCCTTCCATCTTTCATTGCTGGACTTTTTTGCTGTTGTTTAGTTCTTGTTTACCATTAAAAGAAGTGCATCTCTTACACATGCTATGGTAGTGTAAGTCTTAGTTTATCCAGAATGGTGAAAATGAGGTCTTCTGAGTAGTCAAAGTAGGTAATAAAGACTTCTGACACGTCATCTGTCAGTTACCAATATCATAAAATATGGGACACCACCATTTTACTGATTTGGCATAATTCAAAAATTTTCAGTATTTCAGTATCATCATTAGAAATATTGTTTATTGATATATAGTCTTGCTATTTATTATAAATGTCTGGAGAAATAAACTGAGTGTATACTAATGTGGTGACATCCCCATGAAAATTGCTTTCTGATGAACAACTGCCTAATATAAGTTGAATCTTGTTCTTCCTCTCTTTCTCATCAACATTGTATGTTGAAAATATAGAGAAAAACCTGACTTTCAGGGTTTTACAGTTTTGGGGCTTAAAATTCTTTTCTGCATATTGTGAAGATATACATAAGCAATATCAGAGTGGAAAAGAAATATGCTCTGCTTTATTAGTAGTATTCTGTCCAAAGTAATAATTTCCTTTAATGAATTTTTAAATAGAAAAATATTTAATTTTTTTTTTAGTTGTAGATAGACACAATACCTTTATTTAATTTATTTTTTAAGGTGGTCCTGAGGATTGAACCCAGTGCCTCACACATACAAGACAAATACTCTACCAATTAAGCTACAATCCCAGCCCCTGGAAAAATTATATTTTTAACTAAAAAAGAAAAAGAGATATCTATTTTCTATTTTCTCTGGGGTTACATGGCCTCAGTGCTGAAAATTACAAACAGAAGTTAGTATGAAATACTTCTTTGAGGTTGTAGAATTTTGGATTTTGAAAGTCCAGACATGCAAGTTAGATACTTCATAGATATCAAAACAGTAGGTGTATTCCTATTAAAAAATGTGATATATCAGTAACAAAATACTTGGATAACAGCCATACATTCTTGATCATTGTCTATTTTATTGCATGTTAAGGATCTCACCATGAAGTGTAATGAAGAAGAAAAATCTCTTAGCCCTGAGGCCTTTTCCAAGGTTTCATTGACCAATCTGCGAAGGTCTGCAGTACCAGATCTTTCTTCAGACCTGGGCATGAACATTTTTAAAAAGGTGAGTAGGATCATTTATACCTTTTGATATTTTAGTAATTAAATTCAGTGGGGCATGAGGTACTTCTTTCTAATTATGTTACAGTATGGGGTGGTTACAACACTGACTATGACATAGCATAACCCTATAGGCCTTTGTAAGTCTCTCTATTAGTATGAGTGTGCTTCCTACTCTCAGAGTTCCACAGGGTTGTGGGAAGCTCAGTCCTGATAATGCATTGCGGTAGTAGAGGTAGTTGTAGTAGTAATCTGATAACTTACATTTGTGTGGTCCAACTCATTTCATCAAGTATTTTATATAAAGAGTTTTCACATAATCCAACGAAATTCTTTATTCTACCTGTTTTCCAGAGAAGAATTTGACCCTTAGAAACTAGATAGTTCACCAAAGAGTGAACCCAAATCTGAAAGTAGATCTTTAGCTAAATACTTCTATGCTCTCCTGAACCCATCAGACTGTCTCTTTTTTTAAATAAATATATGGCACTAATTGCATAGAAAATAATATGTATAGATTCACAGGTACATGTGTGTGTGTATACACACACACGCACACACACATAAGTAAGAGTCTTTTTATCTTTGATTTTGAAAATAATTTGCTTTTAAAATTATTAACTGAATTATGTCCATGAATAATATAACACATATTAACTAATCTATGAGTCCAGCTTGTCATGACTGCATTCATTAAAAATGAAACCATAGGCAATGGCCATCATTTTTTAAAAACCAGTCCTCATTTAAGAGGAAAAAAAAAGAGATTTTTCAATCTTGGCTGCATATAGAAGTTTTAAGGAGCTTTTATAAAAAAGATAAGTGCCTAGACCACATCCCAGACCAATTATATCAGAATTGCTAAAGATAGGCTCAGGCGCTGGTATATGAGACAAGTTATCTAGACAATTCTAAACTCCTAATTACACTTGATCTTGAGCTATTTTGTAGGAATGATGGGTTTGTATCAATGTTTCCTCTGGATCATCTTTGACTATATCCTGTGAGCAGTTGCACATATTCGAAGTTGGTTGACCAAAATAATGAATTTCAGTTTTGAAAAAGGGACAGCCTGGTCCAAGTGACCAGGAATCCTATATTCTAATCCAGTGATTCTCAAATTTTAGTGTACATTAGAATCACTTATGAGGCATGTTGAAACACATTGCTAGACCTCACCTTTTGAGTTTCTGATGCAATACGTCTGGGGATGCATTGGAGAAAGTGCCTTTCAAGCAGGTTCCCACATGATGCTGATGCTGCTGGTCCAGGGATCAGACTTTGAGAACACTCCTCTAATCCACCAATCAGAAAGACCTGTGAAATGTGTGGCCCTTTGCTTAGTTTCTTTTTCTCTTTTAACAAATTAGGGAAATTTCACCCGTTTCTGTTGGATGACATCCAATGACTTCCTGGATTCCCTATGCTTGTGTTTTACTACTCAAGGATATGGAGCCCTTTGAGAAGTAAACTACAACCTTTCCTTTGCCCTGTGCCTGACTATTCATATCTTACCATTGCAGTTCAAGAGCCGTAAAGAAGACCGAGAGAGGAAAGGGTCCATTCCATTCCACCACACCGGGAAGAGGAGGCCCCGAAGAATGGGTGTGCCATTCCTGCTTCATGAGGACCACCTGGATGTGTCCCCCACTCGTAGCACATTCTCCTTTGGAAGTTTCTCTGGGCTTGGAGAAGACAGGCGAGGCATCGAAAAAGGAGGCTGGCCAACCACCATTTTAGGTGATCACAAAAGACCTTTTGAAGTAGGGCAGAGCTTGAGTGACCTATTTAGGAATCTTGACCTGTGGCTCCCTGGAAAGTCTGGGTCTTTCTTGGACAATTAATTCAGCCAAGAAATTTGGTCCTAACTGAAGGTTCCCCAGTAACTGAAATAATGCTGTATTTTCACAGCCAAACAAATGCAAATAAGTAATTACGTAAGAATTCTGTGTAATTAGCCAGGTTAAAGGCCCTATTTCTTAGATTCAGAAACATGGCCCTAGAGGGTTCTGTGCCTTAACTTTCATTGGTTAATCTAAAGACAGACCTTTATTTAACTCTGTTATTTAATAAAGGAATAAGTGAAGCAAAGGAAAAATTTTTTTCTGTTTGGGATGGCATATTAAGACAGCCAGCTTAAAACCAGGAGCTGACAGTTAGCAGGTCCACAACAGATGGTTTCTGACATTTGGCTTAGATTGGGGCTGACCTTATCATAGGCAGTTCCATCAATCATATTGACCTTGACTATACCCCAGGCAAGTTCAATTCTTGCTATTTTGGCTGGGCCTTCTGCTATTCCTAATACCCCCTCACTCTCACTGCTGTCTGTAGGAAAGACAAAAATCTCAGCAGAGAACCTTTCAGATTTTAAAAAACCCTTGTGATGCTCTTGTCCACTTCAGGGAAGCTGACGCGGCGGGGCAGTTCAGATGCAGCTACTGAGATGGAGAGCCTGAGCGCCAGGCACTCCCACTCCCACCACACTCTGGTGAGCGACCTGCCTGACCCCTCCAACAGCCACGGAGAAAACACAGTCAAGGAAGGTAGGTCCCAGGCAGGGCTGGGGGCAGGAGTTTAGGTTTCTTAGTCTCTCTGCTTACCGCAGGTTCCATTTTCATTGTATTCCACTTACTTATGTTCTTTGAAAACTTCCATTCTTGTGTTATCACTTGGTAATTTAATGTTTAGTCATTCTTAGTGAAGAGCCGTTTGACTAGACTGAGACCACCAGACCTTTAGAGGAAGAGCAAAGATGAGCCACTCATCTCAAAAGATCACAGACCCATAGGGCTAAAGGTCATCTTGCAAAGCATTTAGTGCTTTAGTTTCCTCTGTGACATGCTTCGGAAGGATTACACCTTCCGTGGGAAGAAAGTCATTGCCTTCCAGGGCCACTAATGTCTTTTCACACAGATTCTCTTTCAGAGAAGTGATTTATGGGCTTTACACAAATTGAATGTGTTTCTGGATGGAATCTAAGGCAGGCTCTTTTTCTTTACTCTTAACAGAATAATTTATTCTTGTTCTTATTCTTATGCTCTCATAGGAACACAAATTTAATCCCTCTTTTCTTTGAACTGTACTTCAAGTATCTATTCTTCGTTATAAATTTACATTCTATTACTTTAACCAGAGAAGAAAAATTCCATCTTGTTTTTTTTTGTAATACACCAGATCAAAATAAGATATTTAACTTCCATAACTTATGGGAAAATAGTTCAGTTAAACTAGTTTTTGTTAATATGGTTTGTCATCTAACAGTGTGTAAAATCTACCTGTTACGATCAAGTGAACTAAGTCAGCATTAACAAAAGGTAAATCCTAGCTTCAGCTAAAGGAAGCCAGTTGCAATTTAGTTTTTCTATAGCCTCCATCAATATTACTTGGACTTACAGCTTCAGGAGTTCCATGGGAGTTCAGGATAGATTTGAGACTGTAAGTCATATATCTACAAAAGCTACAGCCCTGATCATGGTCATAATTTAAATAATAGCATAACTATCTAACTGATGTAGCAGGTGAATATGAGGAAAACTAAGATGTTTCTTTTGTATCATTAGTGCGATCCCAGATCTCCACTATCACAGTAGCAACCTTCAATACCACATTGGCATCATTCAACGTAGGCTACGCAGACTTTTTCAACGAGCATATGAGGAAGCTCTGCAACCAAGTGCCTATCCCAGAGATGCCTCACGAACCTCTGGCCTGTGCTAACCTGCCTCGCAGCCTCACAGACTCCTGCATCAATTACAGCTACCTGGAGGACACAGAGCATATCGATGGGACCAACAACTTTGTCCACAAGAATGGCATGCTTGATCTTTCCGTAAGGAACAAGAAGTTTTCTTATGAAGGCCAGAAAGATATTGATTCTTTAAATCCAATATTCACAAGATTGGGTAAAAGGGCATAGAGATTCTTAGAAGTATTGAATCTTAAAATGAAAAAACTACCCACATAAAAAAATTCTTAAATGTGGCAACCATCATAGATGAACCTTTTGTTTTTCCCTAGGCATTACATTATATTTGATCTGATCTAAGAATATGTTTATAATTCTAAAAACTTAGTGAATCCTAAACATAAATATATATTTGTGTGTTTTCTAAACCTCTTTTTTTCCCAGAAAAAGAGTAAGAAGCTCATTTATTTCATTTGGTTATATAAGCAACAAGACTACAAACCTCCTGTGTAGTCATAAAAAATGAATGGAAGTCCTTAAACTATTTAGACTTGCATTCTGAAGAATGCTTTCCTTGAGTATAGTTATTAGCAAATGAAAGGGTTGCTATATTTTATAATTATGTTTCACAAACATTATTATTGCACATCAGGGAACCTGGCCTAGCAAATAATTTAAAATATTAAAATCAATAAAGGGGCATAATTTAAAAATGCAGATATTATACATTTGAAGTTGAAGGGTAAATAATGATACAATTGTGAATAAGCAAGTATTGCTTTATTATGAGCATAAATATGTTATTCTTCTTTATTCATTATTTGTGGAAAGTGAAAAGAATTGAAACACCCTGATTTTAAATATCAGTTATACAAGTTTCCACTTGAGTAATTAGTGTCCCATTAATTCACTATGCTTCAATATCCCCATTAACTGTACATATCATGGGAAGTTTGGAGAGACTTAACTGAGAAAATACATGATTTTAATTCTCTGGGTGATATAAAGTCTATATTAAGCATGTATACAAGGTCCCCATGCAGCTTAGATAAGAAAATCTGAAAATTGTCTGATTTATGCACATAGCACAGAAGAAGAATAACTAGTTAAACAGAATAACTAAATCTATTTAGGAAGAGGTAACTTAATTGTCCTGTTTATCTTTGTCCTCTGCAGGTGGTTCTGAAGGCTGTTTATCTTGTCCTTAACCATGACATCAGCTCTCGCATCTGTGATGTGGCACTAAACATTGTGGAATGCTTGCTTCAACTTGGTGTAGTACCATGTGTAGAAAAGAACAGAAAGAAGAGTGAAAACAAGGAAAATGAGACTGTGGAAAAGAGACCAAGTGAAGGAACTTTCCAGTTCAAAGGAGTATCTGGAAGTTCTACCTGTGGATTTGGGGGCCCTTCCATTAGTGGAGCTGGAGATGGTGGAGGAGAAGAAGGAGGAGGTGGTGATGGAGGAGGTGGAGGAGGTGATGGAGGAGGAGGTGGAGGAGGTGGAGGAGGCCCTTATGAGAAGAATGATAAGAATCAAGAGAAGGTATGACTGAACCACCTTCTGTGTCCTCATGAAATATTGCTCTGAATTTCTTCCCAATGCTGGCTTGCTAGCAATTTATTGACTCAGAGCAGCAACTAATCACTAGAGTAAGAAAGTACTGAATGTAGAAATATCTTAATTAGGTTTTTAGCAGGCATGAGTAGAAACAGATTGAACAGTGTTCTGAATCCACACATATCGTCCGTCATTTATGCTTTGTTAGAATGAATTTTCTGGTTAGGTTATTTCTGCAATAGAACACCTCAGATGCATTCCATTTCCATAATTCTCAGTGGGCCACTAAGGATGGATAGCCTCTTTCTTGAGACGTTCGTGGTATAAATTGAGTAGTATCTTAGTCCACTCATGCTGCAATAAGAAAATACTATAGTTTGGATGGCCTAGTCAACAGAAATTTACTCCTCACAGTTCTAAAGGTTGGGAAGTCCAAGGTCAAGTTGCCAGCTGGGTGGGTTTAATGTGAGGCCTTTTGCTTGACTTGTAGGTGACCACCATTGCTGTGTGCTCACACAGCCTCCACTTTGTGCATGTGCAGGAAGACAGCCTAATCGCTTTGGACCCAGGTCCCAGTGTCTGACCTTATTTAATTTTAATTAATTCCCAAGGGCCCATCTGCAAATATAATCAGATTAGAGTTTAAGATTTCAATATACAGATTTCAGGAGGACACAAATACCCAGTCCATAAGAAGCAGTGTGGACTTTCTAAATAAAGTATTTATATAACATATTTTTGGCAGACAACTTTAGCCATAGTTAAGGGGAAAGCAAGAGAAGAATGGTGCTTGATTAGTTGGTTGATTTATTTGATATTGGTTTGGCATGGCAACAACTATTCTAGCCTCAGTTCCCTTGTGTCTCAGTGTGTCACCTCCCAGAGGGTTTTGCCTTCCTATTATTGATTGTTCCTGAATTTCTTTCCCTCTGCCTTGGCAAAACCTCGATATGAACTCTGCATTTAACAACAAGAATTCATTTTTTCCTTCTTGAGTTTCAAATACAAATTACCACAGCTTAAATTCACATAACTCACACTGATTTGAGGTTGTAGCTGGAATGTGCTGTTCAGAAATTGAAACCAACAAGAGATTTGAATCTCTAACAGGTAAGAATCGCATATCATGTCAAGTGTTTACAAGTGAAAGATTATACTAGAGTTTTAACATCTACAGACATAATATGAACTATAAATTGTCCATTTTTATCCATAGGGTGTTAATTTTTTACATCCAAATGAGGATTGCAGAAATTATAAAAATTTCTTCTTTCTTTCTACTCCCACCTACTACATAATTAATGCACATTTATCGTCTGTGTTTCTTTATTTCGTGGCTTACTTTTATCTTCCCAATATTCATGATTTATCTTCCCAATATTCTGATCCAAATATTCCTGCTTCAATATTCTTGGATTCCTTAGCCTTATCTTTAGGATTTTCTTCTTCTGCCTTAATCATAGAGTATACCTAGATATTATTTTAGATACTATAGCTTGGTGCTATAAATGTTATTTTGACCAAAATTATCACTTTTGATCAGTATGGATGATTTTAAAAAGAGATAATGTGGTCTCTAAAAGAGCAACCAAGATTCAATTGTTTTGTAGTTAGTTTTCAAAATGATATTCTTTTTAGGACAAAGAATTTATAAAATAAAATGTGATGCTAGGTCAAGTGGCTTGTGTTTATGATTCATAAAGGTCTGTTCTTCCCTAAAAACATCTTTTCTTTTCAGTGGAATCAGAAAGTTTATCTAATTTTTCAGCCCCACTAATATCAGAAACATGGGAAATTGATTAAGACAGAAAGGAAGATCTAATTTCTATTTCCATTTTGGCCACTAGCTTATACTGAGAAGTTGAAATATTATTTAGTACTCTGGTTTCTGCCTGTAGTTTGATACATCTTTCTGAATATCCTCTATGAAAGAAACTTAAATCCCAAGGACACCTGAAGGTCTAAAGAATAAAAAACTAAATCCATCCTTACAAAGGGTTTTCAGGGTTAGAGAATTTTTAAAGGGACATATAATAATTTAAAAATATATGTAAACCAATCTTCCAAATAAGCCCTTGCTTGGGGTGATCTTTTCTGAGACACTACTATATGACTCTGTTGTCCACATATTGTCCAAAAAATCTTGACTGTGGGAACTGGTGAGGAATGAAATCCAGTACAAGCTCTGCTCACAGAGCTTCACATCCAAGCACTGCATCCACCCAGAGGCTTGGCTATTTCCAACTCATCCACCAAGAGAGGCGTGTTTCTAATTTGCATAAAGGTGCCTCATACAATAGCAGTGTCCTAGACCTAGAAATAATAGTTAACATTTGTTTTGCTATTATTATGGACATTACATATTTTTACTTTTTTGACTTATGAGATTATTATATTATTGCTATTTTGTAGGACACTGAGTAGTTTGCCCAAAGTTATACAATTATCAAATCTTGCAGGGAAGATTTCATCCAAACTAAAAATGACATCTTAATTGTAAATATATCTGGAGCTGAGATGACTCTTCAAAGCAGTTCTTAGGTGAAGCAAGGAGTGCCTTTACCACTCTTCTGCCACTGACCTGTCATTGGACGTAGTCTGTCTCCTGGAAAACACTGTAAAGTTGGTTGGTTGGCGGAGGCAGCTCTCCAGCAGAGGCAGTCAGCTGAGGATTTTCAGCCATCAACACTTCCAACAACTCAGAGAATGAATGTTTTATTCCTGACGGGAGAAATTCTGGGGTCCAGCACTGCATTCACTACATGAGTTTATGGATAAGTTTATGGATAAGAAAAGGAGGGCCAACTACATAGCATGGGGGGGGGAGTATCTACACTATCACATCAAGGCAGATAATAATTTCTGTATAAATCCCTAGCCCTTTCTTTTACACCCTACCTCCATTGGAGTATTCTTTCTATGTGTAGCCCAAAAGTTTATCTGTCAACCTGTTCATGTAACTAACATGAAAATCCCTTATGTTGTTGAGCAGTGGTCACCATTATATCATTTGCTTTACACAGCAAACCTGTGAAGTAGGAAGGGCAGTTATTAGGGTGCTTAATTCACAGGTGAGGAAACAAAAAAGGGGTTAGTTAACTTATCTAATGTTACACGCGATTAAGGACCAGGAGCTGGAATCCCAAGTCCTCAATGAATGTGCTTACTCTAAATGTAGCTAGGATGATAGAGGCAGGTTGCTGCTTCCCAAAGGTAATGACTCCCCCACACTGGGCTCAGCATCATCCCTTAGCAACAGCGTCCTTATGCTTCTTTGGAAATGATTCAAGGAAGTTCCTTTTTTGGACATCATGTTCTCCACTCACAGTAAGGATTAAAGAGACAAAAAAGTGGATGAAAATGATTTTCATTATTCATCTCAGGAGGGCTCCCAATTGACCCTCAAGGGGAGAATCAATCTGAATGCTTATAAAGTTCTGCATATTCTTGCTTTTCTTATGCATGTGAATTATAATATAGTGAAACAATTGGAAAAAATCCTTCAAAAATAGCAGAAATTGCCAAGTTCTAGACTTTGACCAGTTGAAGAAATTCAGCAGTAATCCTTACCTGGTGGTATTATCAGAAGACTGCTCATGAGGGTAGTTTCTAAGGAAATTCATTGGCCTTCATTGCTGATGATCCCCACCTGCCACCCCGGTAGCCGTTCCAATAGGCTGTCAAGGGTATGAAGGATATCTTCCAAGAAAAAGGTCTGTGTTCATGTTCTAGCACCAGAGGCTATTCAAAATGCATAAATTATTTTCTTTTAATTCATGAAATAGATTTTAGAAAAGTGAGTTTGTTTGTTAAACCCTGAACAATTCTATTTCTCAAATTGCAGGTGCTTATTGTAAAACGTACAGACTTTATTTAATTGTAAAATGGAATCTTCGTAGCAATAGTGGTTCAGTGGCAAAGTAAGTAGACTTCTTTTTGTTTCTTGATCATGGGTACCAGGATGAAAGTACACCTGTAAGCAACCATAGGCTTGCTCTCACCATGCTCATCAAAATAGTGAAGTCTTTGGGATGTGCCTATGGTTGCGGAGAAGGACACCGAGGGATCTCCGGAGATCGTCTGAGACACCAGGTATTCCGAGAGAATGTAAGAGAATTAAAGTAGATTCCATTTCCTCTCCCTCTTCCCTCCCTCCAGTTGAGGAATGAGTCCTTTGACAATGAGGGTCAGTGTTCCCTGAAAAATATTGTATTTTATAGGGCATTTTAATGGTATCTTGGGATGGGAGAAATCCAACAAGATATCTCGACAACTAAAACTGGCTTAGGAAAGTTTAATTGGGAAAACACTTCTGCCTCCTACCTAGAGCAGACCAACAAACCAATTGGTGCAAGATGATTGGAATGTGTGAATTTCAGTTTGGAAGAACTTTGCACAGATGAATACATTTAGCAAGCTTCTGATGACCTGCGACAAATGATTTTTAATCATCTGTCTGGCTACTATAAAAGCATATTTCATATTAGAGAAAGGGGTCAAAGTTGAGACTCAGTTTGTTGTTCTTATTTAGATATGGAAAATGGCCCTTATTGGGACAAAACAGGACTGTAAAAGTAGCCAGTTGTTTTCTGGCTGCTTTGCTTCAAAATGAACCTCGACTTCTACATATTTGAGATCATTTCCCTTTGAACTGTGTGAAACTTGAAACTCTGCCCTTGGGCTTGCCATGTGTAATTCCGTAATGGAACATTACAGCTCATTTTCAGTGAGCTCTCCTGATTGTGCCTTGTTCATTCTGACTTGACCAATGATCCATCTTCACAGCAAGCCTGAGCTGGGGCAGTTGCCTCACATGTGAATTGAAATTCTAAGAAAATATTCTTTTCACAAAAAAGAAAGAAAAAAAAGATTGGATGCAAATCTGAGTCCAGAAAACCCTTTGGCATATCTTGGCAGAGTTTTAGGATAATGTCAAAATCTAATGCTGGACCAGTGTTCCTTGGCGTTAGGTTTTGTCATGAGGTGTTCACATAGTATTGGCATGCTGAATTCTTGCTTAATGTATCTTCTATCACCTATCTATTTATCCATTTTTTTAAAAAAAAATATTCTGTTATGCTGTGTTATTTTAGTTTAATGTGTATATGGGAAGTAACAACCAAGATAATTAATTTGAAACGTGAACATCTTGACCAAGATCTGGATTTTTGAGGTTAAAGTGAGAAAAAAATTTAAAACAATAACTAGTAAGCCATTAGAAAGCTTATATTGCCTCCATATTTGCACATACTTATGTGATTCTTTGATTTTTAATTCTATCACAGCATGAGTAAAACCCTTCAGGGTTAAATAAACCACATTACTTCTCATGCTAAGACCAATTTCATGAAATTAAATGCTAAAACATACTAAGTGTCATTCTCTAATATAAACTGCCTTGGACAACTGTGTCCTGTCTCTCTGGATTAACAGAAAGCAGGACTAACTGAATCAGAAAAGAAGCTTTGTTACTTCTTGTCTGCCATGCTTTTCTCTCTCCAGGTATTGAATGCTTCTATGAGGCATTCAGACTGTTCCCTATCTGGCTTTTCAACTTGATTTATGGGGCAATTCTTCCATTATTTTGTAGATTTATGCTATACTCATTATAGAGATCATATGTGCTTACCCATGTTCACTAAACACATTGTCCAAAAGATACAAAATTTGAGAAAATTTCCCTGGGAAATATGTGGATCAAGAAGTTAGATATTTCTGAATTTCTCTACCATTGGAATTCCAGCTGTTACTTTTCCCCCCAAAGCAATAAGTCCTTACTGAGAAGTTACCTAACTTTTAAAAAGTTAAGAATACTTTCACTTTTTCTCAGGTTAGATACTCTATAGTTTTTTTTTCTCTTTGTATTGTGAGTTATTTTTCTTTTGTAAAAACAGAAGACTATTGTAATGTTATTTATTGAAGTGCCTAGCAATTCCATCACATGATTCCTTGATACCTTTTAGATTATTAATTTGATCATTAGCTGATAGTCCCAAGTTATTGAAAGGAATTCATTCTCTATCAGTTTTACATCATTTGAAGAAATTTAGTCTGTTCATTCACAATCAAAATATTTAAGGCTTGGGAATCTTATTCTTGCTTAAACTTCCCACTGAACTCAGGAAGACCATATAGACAGTCTAAGGGCCACCAAATTGTAGATTTGAAATTATGCCTTTTGGGTGTGTTTTGTAGAGAATGGGGAACACTTGAACTTTAGGATTTTACAATCTAGGATTTTTTAAAAGCACTTTGTAATTAATATAATGAAGAGCTTCTCAAATTCTTAAAGGAATGATAATTAAATTCTTCATGAAGAACATTTTACCTAAGTGTTTTGTAAACTTCATTTTAGAACAAGTAGCATGTATTTTATATAAATAAAATAAACTAAAAATAAATGAGCCTATTTGAGATCTGGCAACTAATAAACTCTCTGGGAATAAAAAGACCTAATTTCAAATCTTCTAGGACAGTGTAAAGAGAGGATGAAAAAAAAATACCAAACCATCTGACTAGGATACAGATGGAGCGATTATAACAAGGTCATACCAAGAAGTCTGTAGCTAAATCCAAGTTTCATTCTTTTATACTCTGTTTTTTCCTCTCAAAATTTTTAAGTATATTTCCCTGAATCTTGATTTGTCAAAATGGTAATGTGATTTAAATTTCCTTCTGGGTTACCACAAAGAACCCACCATTCTGATTCTCAGTAATTGCCTCCCTAATCTAACTTCCATTCCTATACCGGATTGTGTAAAATCCTCCATCCTCAATTAAGGCAGTCCTCCCCCAGCTGCCCTTTCTTTCTAGATGCTTAGCTCTTTCCCCTCATCCTAAAGATTTCTGCCATTTTCCCATTTCATTCCATTGCTGTGGACATTCTCGTATCTCTTTTGTTCAGATGAAGTCTTCTTCAACATACTAATTTGATTTCTATTACCAATCATCTTAAATCCTTTTTGGCAGTGGGTGGTATCTAAATATATTTCCTCAAAAACATCACTCTTAATGACAGTACTGTATCATGGGAGAAATAACTACTGGGAGGTACGATGACCCTGACTTCCAGTTTTGAATCTGCTGTAGAATTTGTAGTTTCAACATAGATAAAGTCCTTGACTTCTTTGTGTCTCAACTGTAATAAAGAGATACTTGGTGAATCATAAAGGTGGAGCAAAAGTCAAATTTGATGCACTTACATTGCAAGAAATGCTTTTTAAGTAGCAAAGCTCCTCATAAATAGGTTTTTTCTTTTGGATAGGAGTTTTCTTTTTAACCCCTAATGCTTCCAGGCAATATCAGATCATTCTGTCTGCTGACCTTCAACAGTTAATGATTGTGTCTTCTTTGGTTTTAATGCTGAGAATTGTTCCCTTTTCCTTTGCCAGGTGGCAAAATTATTTGCTGGACCATAAGAAACACACAGCTATTGTGAATAGCAGGACCTAGTCAGTTGTCACTTGTTTTCCCATCTATGAGGTCAACTTCTATTGAAATACCATATTTTCACATTCAAATGCAGACATATAAATAAACAAATTGGATTTTGTTTTTCACCTGTTAGTGTTTCAAGAATTTTTTTCCTCCGGGCCATGTAGGAACACACCGGACACTCACTTCCTACTCCTCTTGCCTCACTTCCTGTATTAAATCTACTTAATTTCAATGTGTTGGACATGGCAGTGGCATGCTTCTTCCCATTGCATAAAGACTTTGAGTTTTTCTAAGTGTGCATTGTTAATTCTATCACTTACCTAAATTTTACACATTGAGTTATTTTCATTAAGATCTTAAAGCCTTGATCTTAGTGTAAATACTGAACTCCCCCTGGGATCAGCATTAGACTTTGGCTTTGGGTTTTTCCCCTTGCACTGCCCAGTCTGTCTCTGCCTACTTCTTATTCAGACAGGAGGAGCTGGTAGGATTGGCTGGCACCAGAAAGTAGGGATGGATGGAAGTCTTTGCCTTCTGAAGGCTTCTGTCTCAGGTTAACGACATCTGTAGCTTAAGCTGGTACTTGTGACTTTTTCACTTCTCTTCCTTCATTGCAGGCCCAGCACTGCCTCACTAAGCTATACAAGCTAGATAAGATGCAATTCCGACAAACCATGAGGGACTATGTGAACAAGGACTCTCTGAATAATGTAGTGGACTTCTTGCATGCTTTGCTAGGATTTTGTATGGAGCCGGTCACTGACAGTAAGTAAAGCTGTACCTGAGTTCTAGGAGAAATCGCTGCAAGATGAAGCAGGTAGTGTTTCAGGGGCACACTAAATTTGTGGGAATAAGATTAAGAGAAAAAAGGTACATGTGCATGTGTGTGTGTGTGTTTGTGTGTGTGTATGTGTTTGTTTGTGTATGTGTGTGTATGTGTTTGTGTGTGTGTGTGTGTGTGTGTGTGTAAGAATATATAAACAAGAGAAGCTTGCATATAATCTTTGATGACAGATTTTATCCTCAGAGGATAACTCACCTCAGTGAGCAGGAATTTGCTAAAGCATTTGGCATCCTCACCTTAGCCATCTTTATCCTACCTCTCTTCATACTCCTGGTCTCAGATGACCTGCTCTTTTATAGCAACTGAGGCAACAATCAAGAGACAGGGAACATATGTGCTAGTTCAATAAATATGAAATGAATACCTATTATGTGTCAGACACGGTGCTTGGCAATTTTTTTTCACACAACAAAACAGGAAAAATAAAAAACCAAAAACATGGTCATAGTAAACACAATAATAACGCAACTTTGACATACACATATACACATACATATAGACTTACTTTTTAAAAACCAAGCAAATGGATCCATACATAGACCTACAACCTATTTTATAGCTTCATGATTTTAAGAAAACTTCAATATAGAGACCTAAGTTAAAGGGCAAAATCAATGAATTCCAGTTGCACTCATAATAAACTGAATATCTCCACTACCATTTGAATACAAATGCACCAGTGAACTGAAAGTTATGCATGATGCCTGAGTTAAGTAAAACACACATTTTGGTTAAAGTCTGGGAAGAAATAATACCTTAATATAGGCTACAATTGCTTATATCATATATAAATGATTGTTGGTTAATTTAGAATGAAGACATTTGATGGATTTAGAAGTACTTTTCCTGGTTGTATCCCAGACTTTATTATTTTATTATCACATTAAAAGACATAAAGATCTCAACTACCATCCTCACTTCATTGTTTTTCAAACTTGTAATATGCTTGGCTGAAAACAGTTCTGATAACAAACTATTCCTGGTGTTCTATAAAGGAACACAGCAAAGGAAAGGGGATCAGTTGTGGGCTTTAGGTTTTGAGTCAGTTTTAAATAAGCAACCACTTTTTAAGAAATCAATCAAAATGCTTCACAAATGCAGTTGTACATGTCATAGAAGTGAATGTAAAGGAGGTTCTGATTCTTTTATTTCCAAGTTTGCATAGAGATTATTGAACCAGAAGTAGCTTGAAGGCTTAGTGCCTGGATTTTGTGTAGCCCTTCTCTATTTCCTGGGTGCTGAGTATTTCCTTGCCCCTCTCAATTTTGCGGAGCTTCATGGAAATATTGCCTTTAACTTGTGCCTTTGCCTTCCAGACAAGGCTGGGTTTGGAAATAACTTCACCACAGTGGACAACAAATCCTCCGCCCAAAACGTGGAAGGCATTATCGTCAGTGCCATGTTTAAATCCCTCATCACCCGCTGTGCCTCCACCACACACGAACTGCACAGTCCTGAGAATCTGGTGAGAAGCTCTCCTCTCCTTCCCACGGAGCTGTCAGCCTCTGCTCTGAGAAAATTGCTCACATCGTGGCCATGAGGAAGAGATGTTGAAGTCTTAATGCTGAGATATCATTTCCTTGAATGTTCCCAGTAAATCACAGTGGGGCCTTATCCATGCTTGCTTCTCCTTGTTCCTCCTTACCTTATTATCTCATTTGCAGATTGACGTATTTTCATTGTTCATCTCAAAGGTTGTAGTGTCTGGTGAAATTGTTGCAAGGTATTTTGAGTCCTTCAAAAGAAGGTGCAAGAGCACAGTTTATTGGTTCATGAAATCTAAAAGATGATATACCAAGCATTACTTAAAACCATACTTACTTTAAAAATTAATGCAAACATGCTACTGAAATTTGTTTTGTTTTCTTTAATTGAGCCCTGTGATATTTTAGATCACATTAGATCTCCCTAAAGGAGAGTGTTAATTAAATCACTTAAGCCACTAGTAGTGTAGAGAGGAGGAGAATCAGGCTATAAAAGGTTAGTATTTGACTCCTCCCAGGGCCAGTCAAATACTGGAGGCTACCCAGATCTCAATTATTAGTCTACAGCTATTATTTCATATGGTGCTCTCCACTGCATGCTTGGATTTGTGCATTGTCTGTTGTTTGGAACTCTTGTTTTTGCGGGGGTCTTGCACCTTCCATAAAGGAGCTACTAAAGAGCAGAGTGAAGGGCATAGGGCCCTGATACCCACAAGCCCCAAGGATACATGCTCTTTCTATTATCCTCAAGGTTCCTGCCTTCTGCATTCCTAAAAATCACAGGTATAAATTTTCCACCAGTGTTAGGTTTATAAAAGCAAAAGCTATCAAAGTGTGTGTGTGTTATTTTTTTAAACACCTCTGCAACCTGCTTTCCCATGAACTTTCCTAAAGCAAAGAATACAGTAACTACATTTTAAAGAAGGAAGAGAGAGGTAGGAAATGTTGGTGGTGGTGCAAAGCTTAATATCTTAATAAAAATCTTGTATATGTTTTTAAAAGTTGATTTATCAATATCTGAGTTTTAATTAAACTCAAAATTTGAGTTCTAATAGTATTGAATTCAGAGTCAAGTTCACACTCAAAGTGGCTACAACATACATATTATTTGATTAATGTGTCCAACAAAATTTACCATGTTTTGGTTAATCAGGCTTTGTTAGAAGTATCTAGAGAACATAAACATTTTGTCATAATCAGAAAATTTAAAGAAGCAGAGCAGGGACTGAAATCTCTAAACAAATTCTGACTACCTTTTATTTGCAGGCATCTCTTTGGATCTCTTTAAAGTTGAGAGACAAAAAGCTTATAAATCCAATGACTAAAAATATAAATTGATGTCTTTCTAATAATACAGCCAACCTCCTGAATATGCATCTTGCTTAGTAACCATGCTTTTTCATGCTAAGAATGACTGGCAAGGTCCTTGGTAAGGTTCCAAAGGAGCAATGCTGAGGGAATATACTGTGAGTTTCAACAGTGGTAATTATCTTTCTTTATCACTCCAGTGCTTGTCTAAACCTAAGGAATTGCCTTCTCCCTCTCTTTCTATGAAAACTAATCATACCACTGTCTTTCTTTCCCCCAAACTCTCTTCTTGTTTTCAAACAGGGATTATATTGTGACATCCGTCAGCTGGTCCAGTTCATCAAAGAAGCTCATGGTAATGTCTTCAGGAGAGTGGCTCTTAGTGCTTTGCTTGACAGTGCTGAGAAGTTAGCACCAGGGAAAAAAGTAGAAGAGAATGAACAGGAACCTAAGCCTGCAGGCAGTAAAAGGTTGGCACTGGATTTCTCTGAATAAGGGTGTTTGCTTGTGTGAGTAGAATATTGTCTTCAGTTGTACTGTCCATATGCTCTGGATGTGGCAGATCTTCAATGCAGGGGTGGTAATAAGTTCTATCACTGATGTGGTTGAGCTGTGGCTTGGAAAAGGGATGAGTTACTATTAAATATATTGCCACCTATATGAGAATTAGAGTTCACTTGTTTCCACACTTTCATATACTTGAACTTCACTTCATAAGTTTTAACTATATGGTAAAATATCTATGTATGTTTTAGACTTTTATACATGGCTAGAAAGGAAAAGCGATTATTGAGACTTTATCACCATATCAGTAAGTGATACTCTAAATGTGGCAAAAGACATATTGCTATGTATCGGTATGTAGTTTATCCTACTAGTAAACGTACATTTGTTTTATGCCTATTGTATACTAAATACCATTTACAAAGATTAAAAGAAACTCCTAAACTTAAAATCCTGCTTTCAGTTAATGACCGTTTGCAATAATACTGGTATTGGTAAGCAATAAGGCAGAATGAGGTCATAAATTCTATATAACACAAACTCATGGTGACACAAGTATGTAGCATGTGTATAACAGATGTTTTGCTTCATAGAAGGTCTGAAGTATTAAGAGGTGGTGTCTTGTTCTGTTGTGATTGTTGAAATGTGCCCATCTGCATAGGTCAGAGGCGGGAAGCATTGTGGATAAAGGCCAGGTGTCCTCGGCCCCTGAGGAATGTCGCAGTTTCATGTCTGGTCGCCCCTCACAGACTCCAGAGCAGTAAGTAGCATGTTATCATTCCCAATGCAGAGGTTTAGGCACTTCACACTGGAAGAAATTCTGTTTTCTAAACTGCTGTTTGATTTGTTTTTTTTTTTTTTTTTGGGGGGGAGGTGTTGGTTTGTTTTTCATTTCCTTTGAAACTAGCCTCTTTTCTGTCCTACACTTTTTATTTCCAATGCTACTAATTTCTCCAGGCGAGGTCAAATAACCAGGCTTGTGCCTAGAGAAAGCCTCCCTAATTGCCTTTTCCATCTCGTTCCTTCCCACTTCTGACTTTCATGCACACTGCTACTGATACATCTTTTAAAATAGCATGTATATCAAGTGGGGTGACAGTGTCATCCGCTTTCATGCTTAAAATCACTTGCGATTTTTTCTTTTTAATGCATGAGTGGCTGTCAATGTGCTCAACAAAGCTTTTGCTCAGTTTTAGCTGAAATATAGGTTCTACTCCATTGCACTGAGGTCCTCCCCTAAGATTCATTCCAACATCAGCTGCTCTTCACTGTTCATAATGGCAAAAACAAAAGCATCTTTAAATTTATGCCCCCAGGAAATGTAAGGGTTACTGTAAACATTGATTATATAGCCAACTTCTATGCAAGACACATTTGTTTTCATTTTTCTTTATTTGCCCACAATATTTTTTAAATGTACATCATTTTATATTCATCATTTTGTTTTTCTAACCCTTGTTCAGTATTAAGTAGTTGTTTTTCCAGTAATTCTATAGAATATCCTAGGTATTATGTTATCCTTTCTCCACAGTCAAGTAAATCAAAGGTAAGAAACAAATAACCACCTAATAGGAATTTAGTAATCCCTAAACAGCAAATAAAATCTTCAAGTACCAAAGTCTGCACAGTTGTTGTAGTACTTCAAAATTGGACTGCCCCTATTGGTAGATAAACGTAAGAAGAAGGTAGATCAAATTCACAGGTTCAGGGACCATGTGAATTATTGCTTACCATTGTCACCCCAGAACCAAGATGGAGCTTGGCCCATGAGAGGCATTTAATATATATTTTAAGAATGAATGATTCAATTGATCAATGAAAGGGCAGAATTCATCATACAATCATTAAGATTTTGATCTCTTAATTTCCTTTCTCAAAATTAAGTTTTAGTTTCTTTTAAGAAAACCCTTAAGGACATGGTAAAAACCCAAATATAAACTCTGTCAGGGGGAAAAATGAATATGAATGAGATGTTCCATGGATGAATATCTAGTTTATAATACTTATCCATAGAAAATCTGCCCCAAAGCGGACAGAAGATTTTTGTCCCCAAATAACACCCATAACTATTGAGCTAATCTGATCAATGAGAATGATCTAAAAGGTAAATTGGATTTTAAAAATAATCACATTTAGATGTGAGTACAGTTTTTAGATTCCAAAATATTCTCTTTGTTCCGTGTTCCTTTGTAAATACCACCCAATTTCTCAGCATTTAAAACATGTCTGTTCTTTCTTCTTGAATGAAGACACATGTTTTAATATGCCTCTACATAAACATTTCACTTTGGAGGAATGTCATAAAATATTAAGTGTGGAATTTGTCCATGACTCAAGGTGGCCCAGGAGTGAGCATGCCAGACTTCCTCTGTTTAGCTGGGGAAAATGTGAGCGCTTACTTGGAAGATCCTGACTCCTCCTCCATCCTCTGTTTCTCTTTTCTTATCAATCCTTCTTGTCCAGACTCATCTTCTTCTTCCTTAAATAATAGTCTCATTAACTGATTAGTACAGAAAGTGGATTTTATGTGCCTATATTTTTCTGAACAAAGCTGATGTAGCATTTTCTTGAGAAGGTTGACAAATGACAGCCTCCCTGGATGTTCTCCCACTCAGACCATGTAGTGACACACTCATCGTTGTACCCCCATCCTCCCAAAATACAACAGTAGCCAAGAGGTCCAATTCTAAAAAAACAGTTTAAATGTATACCATATTTGATAAACAGAATATAAGAGTTTAGAATAAGAATTTAAAAGTATTTAGTATGCTGATGACATTTGGAAAGATAAAATCTGAATTTTCATGTAAATAGTTCCAGAAAATGAATGCTTTACAATATTGTCAAAGTTGAGGTTAATTGGGGACTCAGCCTCAAAGCTTATAAGCAAATAATTATTAAAAACCCCATAAATAAATTTCATCATGTTATTAGAATTTTTCTATAACCTTTTCTTTCTGAACTACTAAAGTAATATATGCTGCTTATGCTGACAGATGTGGAAAACACAAAAAAGCATCAAGAAAAAGTAGTTTAAGGGTTGAGGTTGTGGCTCAGAGGTAGAGCGCTCGCCTTGCATGAGGCACTGGGTTCGATCCTTAGCACCACATAAAATAAAATATTGTGTCCACCTATAATTAAAAAATAAATATTAAAAAAAGAAAAAAAGTAACTTAAAATCAAAATACCACCAAATAAAGATAACAAAATTTTTGGTGTATTACATTGGGTATGTTTTTGAGTGTGTTTACACACAAACTCATACCCAGATGTATATTATCCTGTTATTTTTTCTATTTACAATTTTATGCTTTTAGTTATCAGTTATGATATATTAATTTTTAAATCAAGCACTTTGTGGTTATAATAATTAGAAAAACAATCTTTGGAGAAAATAAAAAATTTCAGTTAATTTATTAAGGAATTCATGTAAGAATAACTTTAATGATAATGAGTGCATTGTCCTAGTTTTTTAAATTCAAACTCATAATTTTACATTATGAAGGTGTTTTCATGGATAAGCCATTCAGTAACTGCCTTTGAACTTCACAAGGTATCACATACATTGCCCATAGCAGTAATCTTCTAAATTAAGATTTTAATGACTAAAGAGAATATCACAATATGGAAGTCTCGTAATTTATTCAACTGTCTCTCTACAGCTAATCATTTATATTGTTTCCACTTTTTAAATGTTGACCAATAGTGTATCTTCAACTAAGTATGCTGTTCCATTATTTCCTTGGGATTACTTCCTGGAAACTGAATTTCTCTGTCAAAGGTGTGGATATAGGTTTTGAAAAGCATATTACCAAGTTATCTTCCAGAAATATGTAGCCATTCTTACCTTACCACTGGCAGTATATGATAGTAACCATAACTTTCTCTCCCCTACCCCTATTCTATGCCAATTTGGTAAGTGAAAATAGAAATTTCATTTCAGCTGGCTTTATTATTATTATTATTATTATTATTATTATTATTATTATTATTCCTGCTGAGATTAAACTCTGCATATTATTGGCCACTTGCCCTAATCAAAAATCTCCTTGCAGATGTCCTACTGAGTTGGGCTTATTTTTTACTTTTAAACTCCACCTATGTCTTTTTGACTTATTGATAGTAGGATGATGTATCCCCTGGGTATGGTGATCACACTTTCTTCATTTGTTCACTCAATCATATAAATATATTTTGTGAGTTCAACTAGTGTCAGGTGTAAGGATTGGGGAGTGAGGAACCATACTGCAGAAGCCCCAGGGAGTTTAAAAAGCTAAATGTTTACTGACATTTTAAGTGCTTCTTCTATTATGACTCACACTGCAGGTGAATACCTGCAATAATATTTAGTCTTTTTTATTAAGGTTAGAAGAAAATGACCACCTCCACCTGATAGCTGAGACATGACTGTTTTCAAGAAGAGCTCAGAGTCAACCTTGGGCCTCCTCCCATTCTGACTCCCACTCTTCCCACACCCAGCCTGTCAAAGATCTTTCTGCATAATTTGCCTAAATATCATCAGCAAGAGGTTGAAAGTAATTTAGGAGAATTTCACATGCGCTGTCAGGCATTTAACCCTATCCTCTGCTTGCTTACAGCGATGAACAAATGCAAGGGGGCAACCTGGGGCGGAAAGATTTCTGGCGCAAGATGTTCAAATCCCAGAGTGCAGCAAGTGACACCAGCAGCCAGTCTGAGCAGGACACCTCGGAATGCACCACTGCCCACTCAGGGAACACCTCAGACAGGCGCGCCCGCTCAAGGTCCCGCAGAATTTCCCTCCGGAAGAAGCTTAAACTCCCCATAGGTAAAAGTATGTCTGTATTTACTTATGGATTCTCTTGTTACCTACCGTGTCATCAAATCAACTTACCATCAAAACAGAGCAGTGCATGATGGCGTACAGAAAAGGAAAGGTGTCAGCTCCCAAGGCCCAGGCTTATTGCTTCATCCACTCATTCACCAAATCACTCTTAGGTTTCTGCAGTTATTTTTCAAGTCCCTACTATGTGCCTATACTGTATGCAAACACTATTTTGGGTATCAGCAATTAGATAGTAAGCAAAACACACATTCCTCTGACTGCTGAACTTGCTATCAGACAAGAGCCCCTGTCACTAAAGCAGATAATGATTCAATTATGAATTTTGTGAAGAAAATATACATGGCACTAGGAAAGCCTGCAGCAATGAGACCTGACCTAAATGAAGAGAGGAGGCAGGAGTCAGGGAAGACTTCCTAGAGGCAGTGACATCAAGATCTATAGAATACTTAAAGAAGAAGTGATAGTATGTACAAAAATAATAGGATGAAGGGAATTGAGAAACCGAAACAAGGGAAGAATAGCTGCCTCGCAATGGGACCAGGGAACATGGCACCTTGCAGGTTAGGTTGGCTCTTCATCCTGGAGTCTGGATAACCCAAGTGGGTTGTTGAGCAAGAGAGTAACACAAGCATATAAACATTTTCTAAAAGATCACAGCATGGAAATCATCCGGGAGGGAACATTAGAAGAGACCAGATGGAGAGCTGCCTAGTAGTCTAGGTGTAAGTAAATGGACACTTGGGCTGGGTGACTACTTTAAGTGGACAGAGAGAAGTGGGCAGATTGGAGAGGTATTTAGGAGGTAAAATGAATAGGCTTTAAAGAGAGATGTGAAATTTGTCAGGGACAAGTGGATGGATTATGATTTCATTCACTGGAGAGGACCAGGTTCTTTTTGTCCTGGTCTTGCCTGCTTATGTAATTTTATAGTCCAATACTGAACATTTTGGTTCAAAGCACACACACTGGAAACAACTTGTTTTGCTTCTATTTATATCAAAGCCATGTAACTTTCATTGCTTGTTGAGCACATGCTGGCATTTCTGCTTAATCCATTTGAGAGCGAATGCTATAACAGTCTAATTTTTTTTTAAAAAAATTATTAAATAGGAAACTGGCTGAAACGATCCTCCCTCTCGGGCCTGGCAGATGGTGTGGAGGACCTCCTGGACATCAGCTCTGTGGACCGCCTGTCTTTCATCAGGCAAAGCTCCAAGGTAAACAGGACGTTACTTGTGTAAGTGAAAATTGGAGTCACAAAATGATAGAAAAATGTCAGGGCTAAGGAATGCTAAACACCTGGAGGGGCCAAATGAGGAAGAGTTAAGGGACTATTGAATAAATTTTGGAAATTTTAATGAACAATGAAAAATTTAAATGTTTAGGTAGTAGACTATACTAGGAAGAGAAAAAAGGGAAAGTGCAGCAAAAATTATATAAAATGATAATGCAGATATAGAGATGTAGATAGGCATCATTTCCCAGCTGTTTTAAATTTAAACACATGTGAAATTTTTGGCGTCCCAAGTTCATTTCCAGGGAGGCAGTAATTCAATAGTGATTCCTTGCACTTATCAAATACATACACATGCACATGCACACCATTCATTCCCCTTACACTACCTTTGGGAAGATCTTGACCATTCTCTTTGTTGCAAAAGATAGTCAGGATGCTTTTTCTCACTAAGTGTTTCTTCATACTATTGTTTCACATTACAGTAGCTTTTGACTTGGAATGACTCTCAGTGAAATTGATTTTTAGGAGAGTTTTCCCTGTGGATTATTCATGTCCAAGAAACTTGCATACCTGCTTGTCAGTATATGATGAGTTATCTTTCCTTATTTACCAATCATTTGCTTACATTCTTTCTTTTTTAAATCTCACTAAAACCTGTTTCTCCTATTTAGTGTTTTAGAAGTAATATACTGAAATTATAAAAAGAATATAGCAAAATTACAGAACATTGAGGAAATACATTTACATTTCTTATTTTACACTATTTTTGCTAAGAAAAAAAATGGCCAAATATGTGTGAGTCTGGATGTCCCACAGCTTTCTTTCTAGGCTCAAAATTTTGGGGGCTCAGATTATAGACAAGATCAAGAACAGACTTTAATGCTTAGAAAGAGAAATATATTGCATATCATTAGAGTGAACTCTTTAAATTTATTTGAAATTTTGAAATATTTTATTTCACTGTTTTTCACTTTGGTCTGATTTTCAACTCTGGTGGTGTTTGTAAAAGATGAATTTGTGTTACTGTTCATGAATTTGAATTTTCACTTCATCAGAATTTAATTCTAGGAGTATCTGAGGTGTTTACCAGGTTATTTTCAAGGTGCCCAATTATTCAGCTTTTTATCTCTGACCTGGAATCTCCCTTCGACAAGCAGTTTCGGTGATATCTTTTTTGGTATATAGCAATAAACTATAGTGACAAAACTAGACATGGAAGTCAGAGAAGGAAGCAATCTTCATATTCTAAACAACCGATGTTTAAAATCAAGGATTAGTTTAACCCAGAAATTTGCCAATGAATTTGGTTGTTGGACTACTTTCCTTTTCTTCTCAGGTCAAATTCACCAGTGCTGTAAAGCTTTCAGAAAGTGGGCCAGGAAGTGGAATGGAAAATGGAAGAGAAGAGGAGGATAATTTCTTCAAACGTCTTGGTAAATGTCATGCAGCCTAGAATTCCATTCAGCTTTCATCACATAGAACAAAAAAATTGTTTAAATAAAATGGTTCATTTTCTTTTCAATTTTCACTTCTGAAATTCTTTATTTGAAATTTTTTTTTACATGGTCATATTCTATTACCAATGGCTTTTCATTCATTTGCTTCTTTTACATGTATTTTACTACTATGTGTAGCTTCTCTATCAATTTGGTTGAAAAGACATTTATAGAAGCCTTGCTACATTCCTCAGTCCCTGTGGGCACTGAGTTTGTGAAGAATAAGACAGAGATTCTTCTGCTGCTCTTTCCTTATTAAAATCTTAGAGAACTTTTATCGTCACACTACTTACATGGGAATCCTGCTCATTACATCCCTGACAGGTGGCCAGCCACCCTCTGCACACTTCCACTGAGGGGGAATTTATAACTTAACAGGGCAACCTGTTCAGAGCTAAACAACTTTAATTATTAGGAAAATTTTCCTTACCTTCTGAAAATATATTTATCCTTAAACTTGATTCCTATGACTAGTAACAATGTACATATCTGAAACATAGTTTCTTTCTGCCTGTCTAGAAAGCAAAAGAGTAATATCTGAGATTCCAAACTAGCATAATTTATGTGCTTTTGACTGGCAAAGGAATATAGCTTATACATCACTGCTTCTTGTCTATGATCTCTGGCTTGTTAAAAATTTTTAAAAAAAGATATTCTGTGAGATAATTTCTTTGGACTCTAGTAGTACAAGTAACTCCAGCTGTTCTAAATGAACCAAAACAACATTATCTGCTAATCTAAGAACATTGTATTTTTCAACAATCTTATCCATGTGAACATCTTTCCCTCTGAGTCTGCCCTCCCTCCCTTCCTTCCTACTCTTTTCCCTTCCTTCTTTCCTTCCTTTCTTCCAAATCTAGGCATATAAACAATCCCTATGCATCCATTTGAGATGTATTGTCCTTTTCTCATTTATTATTTTAACCACATAATTTCTTTGTTTTGTTTTTTTTAAACCATTAAAGAAAATAAATGTCAAACATTCTTATCCTCAATTTAAATGTAGTACTTGAAATTCATTTAGTTGAGATAAATTGCCAATAGAATTTTCTTTTTTTATTGTAAATTTATTCTAATTACATCCCTCACAGGTAGCTAGCCACCCTCTGCATACTTCCACCGAGGGGGAGTTTATAACTTAACAAGGCAACCTGTTTCAGATTTATTTATTGGACTCTCGTAGTACAAGTAACTCCAGTTTCTTTCTGTAACTCTCAGTTTCTTTCTGCCTGTCTAGAAAGCAAAAGAATAATATCTGAAACAGGTTGCCTTGTTATTTTATTCAACAAATAAAAAACATGTCTGGTGAACATTTGCTAGAATTGAGATGACATTCAGAGAGCTTCTTTTGTCTTCATATTCACTAAAATTATTTAAGAGATCAAATGGCCTATGTTTGTGGGAAGATATTTGGTTGATTAGAGCAACTGGTTTTGTTTTTTGTTTTGTTTTGTTTTCACACAAACAACAAATTCATTGCACATCTTCTATGTTCTCAGCTCTGCCATCACCTTCATGGGGGAAATGCTGCTTATTACAGGAAGGACCATTTAAAACATACCAAGAGCTCTTATCAGTATTAGAGATGCTCAGCAGCAAAGTGATCAGACCCTACAATTCAAGTAGTTAGGTAAACTCTGGATTTTCAGATGCCATGCATCATTGATTCCCAAAAGTCAGGATGAACTGAAACTAAGCATTTAAGGGGTACAGAGAAGGGAGGAGGAGTGGGAGAGAAGTTTTTGAGGCCATCTCTAAAGCTCTTTTTAAATCTGTGATGCATTCTCTTTTATTCCTCTGCAATGGCACAACTCCTATAGGTTGCCATAGTTTTGATGACCATCTTTCTCCCAACCAAGATGGTGCAAAAAGCAAAAATGTGGTGAATCTTGGAGCAATCCGACAAGGCATGAGACGCTTCCAGTTTCTGTTAAACTGCTGTGAGCCAGGGACAATACCTGATGCATCCATCCTGGCAGCTGCTTTGGATCTAGTAAGTTGTTGGAAGATTTTGTTCACTGTTACTGGAGGTAAACCTGAGTTGCCAAACCCAACACTTAATTGTGGGGGTTTTGTTTTTATTTTGTTTTTCCCCTCAGAATGAATGACAACAACAAGAAGAAAGGTAGTGAGGTGAGAGAAGAAAACAAAGAAGGAAATAATCATAATAAACATGTTCTGGGAAGCAGAATGTATCATAAAACAATTAAAAATTATGTGAGGGATCTAAGTCAGAATACCTGAGTTAAAATTGCTCTGAACATTTGTAAAATGAGAGTAAAAGTAATAGTAGAACTATATTTACCTCCTGGGGCTGAAGCAAAGGTTAAATGAGAAATTAGATGGAAGATCCTCATCACAATGCCTGAAATATGATAACTACAGTAAAGTAGATTATTATTATGTTATTTGTCTTGTGTGTTGTTTTTTTATATGATTACTTTAAACTCTCTAAGGTTTGGTTTTGTTACCTATCAATCAGAAAACATAAAGCAAAGGTTACTTAAAATGAATTGTAGAACACTTTGAAGAGTGTAAAGTATTTGTGTTAGTTAGGTTTTCATCACTGTGACCAAAATACTCGACAAAAACAACTTAAAGGAAGAGAAGTTTATTTTGGCTCACAGTCTCAGAGGTTCAGTCCATGGTCAGCCAATTCCATTGCTCTAGGCCTGAGATGAGATGGAGCATCATGGCTGAAGGGTATAGAGAAAGAAAACTGTGCACCTCAGAAAGCAAGAGGAAGGGCCTGCAGGGAAGATGCACCCTTTCAGGGTACAACCCCAGTGACCCACCTCTTCCAGCCACTCTTTTAAATCATGCATGATGTGTTTCTAAAGGAGCAGATCAAAATAAACAAATGGAAAAATTCACAAGGACAATTAAATATTGAAAAAAAATGATATTAATAACCTGTTCCCTGAAAATACTGAAAGTCAGTAAAGTATGCCTCATCTTACTTATACTAAAGAAATGCCTTGTCAATTTATGATTTGGAAAAGTAAGATGATAATAATGCTTATTAAATATTCATAAATCCCTATTCTATAACTGTCAGATTTGCAATGGTTATAAAGTATTGATAAGGGTATAAAATAGCAGACAGCACAACACAGTGTTGGCAGTAGTGTGAGCACAGGATTTGATCAAGGAACAGAAGAGGCCTTAGTCTTACAGGGTGGGGAGGGTAGAGCAATGACACTGAATGGAGCTCTCTCTGGCCCCTCCCTGAGTAGACAGTCATTCTGAACTGTATGTCATTGCAGGGATGGGGCAGTTTTCTACATATCAAATATACCAAATGATAGAGGTAGTAGGCTTTAAAAGTCTGTAGTCAATTGTTATATCAAGATACTCATGATATAATAATTAACTCAACAGCTGTCTTTTGTGCTAGGCATGGTGCTAAGTTGCTCATGATAATGCAACAAAACCCAGATGGAGAGCTTCACTTTATTTTTCACATTTCCCATTGAAGATTATATTTGTAAAAGGATCTATTTTCCGATCTTCATAGTGCACAAAATTCCAAGGTTGATACACATGAATGACCAATATTTATTATATGCTTCCTATATTTCCAGAATAAAAAGAAAAAGACTGAAGGTCAGAAAGACCAACCAATAGTCCAAGGTTACAAAGCCATTAAAGATAGAGTCCGACTGGAACCTAGGTCTGTCTTCATAGGCCCGTAGTTTGCATTCTACCATGCTGACTCTTGCTAAAATATTATGAGAGATCACTTTAAAACATTCAAAAATAATAAACCCCACATTTTATACCCACTAGTTTGAATGTGGTTAAGAATATAAAGCTGATAGAAGCTAGTTGAACAGTTGTTAAATACACAATAACAATGGTGTATTGCCACTTTACAGACAGTTTAAGCTGAAATGCTCCAAAGATACTATCATATCTCTCTTTGTCTTTATCTTGCAGTCATAGCTACTTTTGGAAAATTTTAAGACAAACAAGGCATCAAATTTCTCAGGCAACGGTCTAATAAGATAAAGGAAAATATTACAACAAATCATTTTATTTCAACTTGTTGAAAAACTGAGTGAAAAACAACCATATCAATTGGAAAATCATGAGATAATAGTATTTGACAACTGTTCATCAAATAAGCACCTGATAAGATTTGACAGATTGCCCTTCATTCACTGGAAAGGTCTAGGCCTTCCAAAGATCTTGAGCTGAAATCTGCACATAAATATATTATGCAGTGTTAGGGACTCTACCAAGCAGATCTTTTCATTAACATGTTCTCCACATGAGAGAATAAAAGCTCTGAAAGTTAAGGTGAATTTTCTCAAGGTCATATGTTAGTTGATGCTAAAACTGGGATCAGAGAAAAACCCTCTGATTCCATTCAGGGCTCTGGGCAACACCACATGCATATTTAATTAAATCAGAATAAGTTTCTCTAGATACAATAAAAAATACCCTTAAATGTATAAGACCTCATGTAACAAAGAAAATGGTGAATGATTTTTAATGGTTCAAAAAAACAATTGATTCCTTATACATGATATTCCTTATCATGTACAAATACATTGTGAATTCATAATAGGAAAATATAAGAGATTTTCAATTTTAAAGATTCACACAACACATTCATTCTCTAAATCAGTGATTCTTAACATTTGGAGACATAGATTCTTTTAGAATTGGATGAAAGTTATGGATATTCTCCGGAGAAAAGCACACTTAGAGACAAAATTTAGCCTATGGTATCAGAAAATTCATAGACGCCTGCCCCAAAATCATCCACAAAACAAAAACATGTTAAGAACTTCTCCTCAATAAATGCATTATCACTGGCAAAAAAGAGACTCTTTCATCCAGTAATTGGAATTACTTTGTTAACATTCCCTAGTGATGTAAAAACAGAAGGAAGCCTTTCATAATCCCTTCATACAGGGAAAGCTTTCAGGGTTTATATAAGATATCTGGGCCCAGAAGAAACATAAGACCTGTAACAAAGAGAACAACACACTTAGAGATTTGAAAAATAATCCCAGTAGAACGAATTAATACTGGCTTCTGAATAGAGATTATTTTAAAGTGAACATTAAGGAATAGCTTGATAATCAAACCTTTGGGTGTTGGGATTTCTTTCCCTCTCATCAAAACAATTCCATATCTATCTGGCTTCCAACTGGGATACTCTTTATTTTCCAAAGAGTTTTTTTTACAGGAGTTTTCAGGCACACTGTATTCCTGCCAGAGCATGACTTCTGCCATTTGATTAAACTGGAAACCACAGAAAACTTAAAATTTATTTTAATTCCCCAAAACATGACTGTGACTAGTTGCTAGACCTCTAGATTCTCCTTATCCCTTTCCTGTGGAACCTACTCTGGTCCTGTTTGATCTCATCAAGCTCGTAAATCTCATGGTAAGAAACAAAGTACAGAGAATTTTGATGGTTATAAGCAGTGTCTCCTGAGCTTCAAGGTATTTTCTGATCCCTGTAGATGTTCACTGATGGAGTAGCCTACCTTGGGAAATCATGAGCGCTTTGACATCAAACTGGATTTGTTGGGAGCATATGTGCAGAGGGCCGAAGCAGTTGGTGGCTCCTAGGAGTTCCTTTCACACCTGAGAGTCTTTGATCCTAGGTTAAGGCCAAGCAGTAAACATAGTTCAGAGGTCAAAATTCTGAAGGTCAGAATCAATCAAAGTTTAAAGAAGCTCCATTCTCAGGCAATAAGAGAAAACTCGATAGAACTGGCTAACTGAATAAAAGGTGTAGGTGATGATGATGGTAGTGATGGTGGTGATGATGGTGGCAGTTGATGGAGGCAGTGGTAGAGGTTAATAATAGTAACATTTTCACTGTACTTGACAACTTATAAAAAAAATCATGTTCATTATCTTATTTATTGGTATGAAAGCAAAAAGATCAAGTTAGGATATGATTATTAAGTGAGGGAACACTTGGGATTGGTTTCCCAGCTATGAAAAAGTGAAGAAAGTAAGGTCACTGGTAAATTCTGACAAACAAGCAAGAGAAAGGAAAATGTAGCCATATGTCCTATGTGCTTGAATCAAAGTTCATTTGTACAGCTGTGACAACTATAGCTTGGACCTATTGATCTGAGTTAGAAATTCCTCAGGGTTATTTTAAGTTTCATAAAATTCTCCTGCTAAAATGTATTCTTACTTTTGTTTCCTCTCTCTTTGATTTCCCCTAATATCTGGTCCCTCTGCTTCCTGTCTTTCAGGAATGCCTCAGTTTCTGAGTATGCTTTAGGTTTCCCAGTATATTTATAGTTGTACACATATATGTGTAATATAGATTGATATGATGTAGAAATATACATAGATGTACACATAGAAAATATATATAGGTAAGCAGATGAGGGTATAGATACAGATGTGTAGATAAATAGATAATATAGACATAGTTACTATTCTGCTAGTTCATCAAATAGAATTTAAGTGGGGAAGGAAACACCAAATGCGTCCTGTTAATCATCATAGTTCAGTCCAACTTATCTCCCACCTCTCTTTTGTTAATTTTGTCTTGTCACTCTTATTTTTAAGTGTAGCTTAAATACAATTTTTGCATTATGACCTAATTTTTGTTTGAATACTTTTATAGTTTTATTTCCTTAATCATATAATTAAAATGTGATTTTTAAAAGATTGCAGTGTTCTTCAGAATTTAAAAGTATTAGTAGATGAAAGTAGTACTGGAAACTTGAGTGCTTAAAATTTTACCAATATGAATGGCTTTGTTTGTTTTAAATAATTATTTTATTGTTATTGATATGATTACTAAGTTTAAGGATAATTGGTTTAATATTAAGTCCAACACAGCTCTTCCTCATAATCTTTCTCAGTAGTATGAATTATCAGTTGCAAATATTAAAGCATTTTTTTAAAAAAAGATATAGATGTTTTTAAAAGGTCTAATTTTACCTCTAGGCTTATATAATCTATAAATACAAAAATACAAGAAAAAGTAAACAGTTCAAATGAAAG